GAGCGTCCGCTTCGTCGTCGGCGAGAGCGCGCCCGCACCGCGGCGCAGCCGGCCCGGCGCGCCGCCGGACATCGTCCTCTCGCCCCCCCTGGATCGTAGGCGCCGTCGTATCGTCCTCGCGGGACGCCTAAGTTGCGGTCGGCGAGTAGCTTCGCGGTTTTACGACGGCCCAGTGCGGGCGTCCCAGAGCGCTTCACGAGCGCGCGGTTCTGCTGCACGGTCTCGACGCACGGCATCGTCGTGCCGGCGTCGGCCCAGGCGGTGTCGCAATCGTCGACGAGGAAGACGACCGCGTAGTCGTAGGGCGGCACAGCCGGCGCGACGACGACGTCGACCGCCGCACCGTACGATCGAGAAGGCCGCGGCGTCGAACATGACGCACCGCTTCGTCGCCTCCGCGTCGAAGCTCGCCCGGGCCCTCGACGTGTTCCAGCCCTGGATGTCCTTGTCGAAGGCGTAGACGGACGAGCACGCGTGGCCCAGGTCCGTCGCCGCGCCGAGGGCGTCGTACAAGGCCTCGGCGTCGAACATGCACCGCTGCGTCGTCTCCACGTCGAAGCTAGACCAGGCCCTCGACGACGTCCACGTCGTCTCCGAGCCCGACATCGTCCAGCCGTCCGGCCTCGTCGTGGGCTCGTCCATCGTGCCCAGGGCGTGCGTCAAAACCGTCCATCGGCAGCCCGTCGCCCAGGCAGAACGACAGCCGCCAACGCCCTGTTAACGACGCCAACGCCCAATGTTCAGGGCGCCGCGCGAGGACCTCGTCGTAGACGAGCGTAATGCACGACCCGCGAGACTACAAACGGGATTCGAGGCAGCTTGGCAGCCCATCGTCTCCCGATCGACGTGCTGCTGCAGCGCCGGCCACAGCTGGGGGCGAGTGAGCCGGCATCGCCGGCCTCGCCAACCTAGCAGGCTTGCAGCATGGCGTCTCCTTTCTCGCCCCAAACCAAGCTTAAGCTGGGCCAGCTCGAGAACATGGACCTCCCCCACGCCGTCCACGTCCAAGCGGAAGCTGCGATCATCGACGACCACGCCCGGCGCCACCCCGACGCGCCGACCCGGGCCATCGCCGCCGCGGCCGACGCCCCGCCGCCGCTCGAGGAGGAGGACGCGTCGCTGCTCGAGGAGGAGGACGCGCCGCCGGCCCCCGCGCCCCCCGCGCCCCCGGCGCCCCGCGGCCGCGCGTCGACGCGCGGCGCGGCGCCCGCCGGCGGCGGCCCCGCGGCCCGGGCGCCGTCTTCGAGCTCGCGGTCCCGGTCGCGCGACGCGTTCGGCCCGAGCGGCGGCCGCGGCGGCTCGCGCAACGCCGCGAAGCCGTCGGGCCAGCGCCGCGGCGCGTCGACGTCGGACAAGGCGACGTCCGGCCAGCGCCGCGGCGCGTCGACGTCGACGTCGGGCCAG